TGAGGCAGGGCCTCTGCAGTTCAGGCTGGTACTCACTCTGTAGCACCAGCTGGCCTAGGATTTGTATGATCTTCCTGAGTCAGCCTCCTGAGTGCTTGGATTCTAGGCATGTACCACCATACCCAGCTTATATATAGCTTAAAGGATGCAAATGTGAAAGGCATTTAAGATGCTTAAAAGAAGCTCTCTATCTATAATTAACATTGGGGAGGAAAGGATCTGTGTAATTATACCCAGGAAGTTGCTAAAATCACAGAGAAGCTGGCCATGCCTCCGCTGAGATACTCACTATCCTAATAGAAGCAACAGACAAATCTTAGGCAGCCACAGATGGGAACTGGGAAACTGTTCCTCTAGTTAAATTTGAAATTTCCCAGTCTCAGAACTATTTGGCAATTTTTTTTTCTGCCAATGATTGATTTGGGGCTGTCTTCATTAGAGGACAGAATTAATAACGACGGTGGGCTTCTGCACTAAAAGCCTGTGGCATCGGGGCCAAAAGTATTCCAATGCTGGTTGTATTCTAGAAACTACTAAATCTTCCCTGGGGAAGAAACTGCCTTCCTGAAACAAATATCGCCAAGATGCGAAATCGTTAGGAAAGCAAGGGGAATAATGATACAAAGTGTTTTAAGCAGTAATGTGTAGGTTTCCAGAGTGCAAATCTTGAAAGCAATCCCTTGCAGGTAGACACTCTGATACAACCGAAGGATAGAGAGAGGTAAAATAGCTTTTAGCATGAAGCAACTTACACACTGTACAGTTGTGTTAGCACAGGATGAAATAAAATACAGCGCACAGTGATGCAAAGAAATTTGTTGCCAATGCGAGTTGATTCAAAATGCGCATCAAGAGACAGGTGTGGGAAGTGAATGACCCATCGAAACTTCTGACCTAAGCGGCTGACTCATTTGTAAAAGGTGGCACCAAGTGTTCACAGAAGGAATTTCTGGGGTGATGTGTGGTTTGCAAACCCCGCTCTAGAGGGAGATCTAAAGTCAGCAGCCTTTGCTTCAGAGGCTTCGGTCTATCAGGACAGATTGTTCATATTGAAATGTGCAGACTGCAAGGTATGCCTACAGAAACAAACCAGTGCGACCGTGAAGTCGAGCTGCCTTGACTTTCACGTATAAAGTGGGCGCACACTGGGCAAGCGGGCAGTGTTGCAGTGTGGGCCTTCTTTATTTTTTCACGTGATCCTCAGATCTTTGTCCTATTAGAAGTTCTCCTCGTTGCAATCCATATCCTGATGAGAAGTGGCTCCTCATGGTGATTGGGAGAGAAGCAAGCGGAATAGAAAGGAAAGTAAGCATGTTCAAATGTTGACAGCTTCAAGCATCAGAGAGCAAACAACCAAGAACGCATTGTTTTCGTGGTCCATGCCTTAGGATTTCTTTGACTAATGCCATGGCACTTCCAGAACCACATGTGAGCCCAGTTGTGGACAGTTCTCCCAGTTTCCATGAGCAAGGGACAGAAGCTGTTCCGTTTAGTAAGAGGATGCAAGACGCTAAATCTGAAACAGAATCATCGTGTCTGCGATGCAGAGCTTTGCTTAGCACACCTAATGAGGTGCATTTGTGCACGGTTATCGGAGTGTGGCATCTGCCTCTTAAGGAACAAAGGAGTTGGCAGAGCATACGTCACAGAAAAGTTTCTATTCAATTCTGTAATATATTTGCACCACAGAGAAGAATCCATGACCTTGACCCCATTATTTTTATTCCACATGAAATAGAAAAGAGGCTTGGTTTTGTGTGTTTACAGTTAAAGTTGATAACAATGGCTCCGTTGTCACCTTCATCATATCCTCCATTAAGAAACTTCTTGGATGCCTAAGGTTTGCCTATAATGACCAGGTAAGTTTAAGTTTGGAAATTACTGAAGCCATCTTCCATCTGTAGCTAATACTTTCTCAGCTCTATTTTCAGTAGCTCCCCATTAGAATGTTAGGTCCATGTTTTGCCTTTGACAGCAGTGGAAATTATTGAGACTCTTCGGGGCCAGTTGAGAAAAAGCCCGTTCTGAAGCTTTTCTTTTTCTTTTTTTTTTATTTTATTTTTTTTATTTTTTTTTAAATTTATTTATTTATTAAAGATTTCTGTCTCTTCCCCGCCACCGCCTCCCATTTCCCTCCCCCTCCCCCAATCAAGTCTCCCCCCTCTCAGCCCGAAAAGCAATCAGGGATCCCTGTCCTGTGGGAAGTCCAAGGAACCCCCACCTCCATCCAGGTCTAGTAAGGTGAGCATCCACACTGCCTAGGCTCCCACAAAGCTTTTCTTACCACTTCCTGAAAGATAGGAATTCCCTCTTTTGTTTCTCCAGGACACTTGACGCGTGGTTTATCCTCACTTCAGCTGTGTGTGTCAGCTCCTTCCTTCCTCCTAGGCTTATTGATAAGCACATTCCCCACAGGGCGGGTCCATTTCAGTGGCCCTGATTATACAATGACATTTGCTAACCTGAAACTGTCTTCCTAAGAGATAGCCAATTCTTTCTTGTTCCTCTTGTGTTAGCCTGGTGGGTATCTAAGAAGTCATCAAATGTCTTAGTGGAAACAGAAATGATAAAAAGTTGTATGAGCGAGATGTGAGCTTTAATGCATTAGGCCACTGAGATTTTAGAAATGTTTAGTCATCCTTCTTGGATCAGTCTGTTGCCTTACCCTAGTCATTTATAGACCGTGTCACATGTCTTCTCTCTTCCATAGAGTCTAGGATGCCTTTTGAACAGATTTAATGTATGACTCATGATTTAAAACTACTAACTTACGCTTAGAGTTTGCTGGAAAGATTCCAGAATGAGCATTTCCTGAGAGATTATAGGAGTCTAGAAGGTAGTCTGACTTTAAAGTGACATATCATTACTGACAGCAATCCCAAAAGTTCACCTGCAACATCAACATGAGTACTTGCAGCCAGGTTTTACACTATCATGAGCAAGGACCTTGTAGAGAAACGCTGTGCCCTGGAAGAAGCCACCAGGACCCAGAAGACTGCACCAGAGAGGATGTTCACATTGAAATATGGCACAAGAAGCAAAACTTTGGATCATCAAGCAACATTTGAAGATATTTGTTGATCATGATGCCTCTAATTTGTGATGAAATTGATATTCGGATTTATGTGATATTCCTAAAGTCCTAAAGTTCTTGATCCAATACTGGAAGCTTCTTACAGTATTTTTATCTCCAGTTTTAAAAATTAATACCATAAATGCATTTTTTCATTATCCCAGCACTTGGAAAGCAGAAATGGGAGGATTACAAGTTTGAGGCCAGCCTGGGTTACATAGCAACTCCTGGTCTGCACCGGCTACACAGTGAGACCCTGTCTCAAAAAAAAAAAAAAGAAAACAGAAAACCAAGTATCGAGGGTACCTCAGTGGTTGAGGGCTTATCTAGCACGTACAAGGTTCTGGGTTTGATCCCCAACCCCAGAAAACAAGCAAAAAGCCTTCACTGATTATTTGCGTGTCAAGGACCTCTAGTCCATACCCAAACCCAGAAGTAGCTAGATATGCAATGAAAGATCTTGTTTTATGTGTTGGGAAGATCACTGAAGGATTTTGTTTTGTGGTAGACTGTTCTGTTCTGTACAACTTTGGAATTAGAATATGTTTACCATTCTGTTCTCTCAGTGCTGCTAAATGCCTACCTTTTAAGACTAATTTTTAGTAGAAAAGGTAATTGACGAATTTGATGCACAAATGCATCCAATTTGAAACAATGCCAGAAACCCCAGTTCACAATGGTACTGTAGATGTGCTCTTCTGCTTCCATTGTTGAGCCAATTTGTGTCTTTATGTTTCCTGTTCAGACTCCTACAGACCCCAGCATAACTCTGCTTAGTCTTCCATTCAAATATATATATACTATATAAAGAAGTCCAAGAACTCAAAGGCAACAGAAAGAAAAAAAAACAAACTCAACTGAAAAAATTGGCTGCATTTAGACATTTGTCAAAAAATGTATCAAATCACTTGCTAATATATGGGAGAATAATCAACTTTTCTAATAACAGGGAAATATAAATCAAAACCATAGCAAGATGTTTCTTCACCTCCATGAAAATGGCTATTCCAGAAGGCAAGTTACAAGTACGAATAAGGAGCTGGAGTGTTGGTGAGAATGTTAATTACTATATCTAGGGGCAAAGGATTGCAGGTTCATCAAAAATTTAAAAATAGAGCTACTGAATAGTCACTCAATGTCATTGCTGTGCAGAGAAGCAAAAGATACAAGACCATATTTAAAGGGCACCCACACTCTCGTCTGCTCCACTATTTACAGCAGCCAAGGACGGGAGCAGCTCCCGTGTTCTTCAGCTGGTGAGTGCAGACAGTGAGGTATAGATACACCATTCAGATACAAAGACAGAATGAGGCTGTTGTTTCTGACAACATGGACAGAACTTGAGATCGCTGAGTGGAAAAAGAGCAAGTGTGAAAAGTAATGATTGCGTGATCCCACTTGGGTGGAGCGTAAAACCAGAGTTGAATGTGGCCACTAAGTTATAGTTAGAAGCAGGAATTTCTAATGTGCTGTTGTGCAATAAGATGACTACAGATCACGCACATGTTAACAAAGGCTACAAAGAGGAATTCTATAGGTTTTACCCTAAAGAAATGATAAACAACAAGTCATTAGATATATGCCATTATAAATGGCATGCTATATGCAAGTATAGAAACCTTACACGGTACTGCATTGACATGCTTCCGTATTTATCGAGCCTTTAAAAATTTCAATTCAAATATGTCTAATCTCAGGCACAAAGCCCACAAGTTCATCCTCTCAAGCCAACATCTGTTCCCACCTTCGTCCCAAAGGATGATGGGAAGAGAACAATTCATTAGTGCCAGAATTTGTGTCTGGTTCTTGTATGTCCCCTGTGGCTCACCCCACTACATCCTAGGCTCTGTGAGGACTAAGCCTGGAGAGCCAACACCCAGCAGCTGCGCACCTGCCCGCTGTTCCAAATGCTCAGGTGCTTCCTTACCTGGTCATTGATACTTCCAAAGAGGTCGTCTCACAGATGATAGACTGGACTTCACTATTCCAAGCTCCTCTTTCAGAACAGCTGGTAAACGGTGAACATGATGATTTCTGTCCACAGTGGGTCTTCCTCAAGCGCCCGATGCGGTCCTGGAGTCTCATTCCATTGGATCCTATGTTTTCTTTGCCAGATTCTTGTTCTGACTAACTAACCCCTTCCTTTTGCCAGTATCACTTTATTGGCTGTCTTCTTCTCCGCTGGACTCTGTAGTCAAGATACAGAATTGAATTCTTCAATTTACCGGAACTGAAGATTCCTTTTGGCCAAACTAAATCGACAACATTGTCTAAAAGTTTTCTCTTCTGTTGGCTTTCCCTTCTCCCCATTCATTCAAAGACTATTCTACTTAATATCCATTTTACTATTTGGTATTCTGGGTTAGGAACTTAAGGATCTTTTAAAAAATCCTTCCATAAACCTTTAATTTTTTCAGAATTTAAACCTTAATATTAATAAATAGCTATGTGGCTTATATCACCCAGTAAATAGCTTTTTTACCACATTTTGGGCCTTGCTAGCATAGAAACCATTCCGATGTGGAAGTCTAGTGATTTCTACTAGTCTTAACATCATATTACATCTACCAAAAACCTATGGCATGCAACAGAAATGCTCTCTCGATGCCTAAATGTGAAAAACAGGTTAATTCTCTCTCATTCCCTCATTTGCCAAGGTATCAAAAGCTTTGAATTTATATATCAAATATTATTAAAACATTTTATAAAAAGACTTGAAATTATGCATGGCTAATTAATTTACGTAATTAATTTGTTTTGACGTACTAACTTTTTTTTGACACAGTTTCATTTTTCTCAAGCTGGCTCATAAATGAAGTCTCTTGTTAGCAAGAGGAGTCCATTTTTCTGAACCTGTTGTAGCCGTGAGCCTCTAGGGGGCGCTCCTCCTCACAAAATATTAGTGACAAACGGCTGAGTCCTATGGGCTTACTCTAGGAGTGTGGCCTCACCGGAGAACGCCTGCCTAGAAAAAGTTCGGTTAGACCTACAGTGTAGAAACTATCTAGATTTAAAGTCTTTGAAGAATGTCCTCTGTGAACTTAAACCAGTCCTTCCCGGGGCTGGCAAAGCAAGGACCTGGAAGTTCTCCTTGATGGTCCCTCAGCCTGCCCTGCCGAGCCCAGAGTGATGGGAGCTGCCAACCGGCCCTGGTATCAATGCCCATGAGAGAGTCGGTACGGACTTAAATTAAGCCTGCTCCGTACCCTTTTTTTCCCCTGGGCAGAAGTTAGAACACTCAGTACCTGTTACAGTCAGCTCCTTTGAAAAGCCAGACCTCACGCTTTTTGCCTTGGAAAGACCTCAAAAAGGAGGAGTAATATCTGCGGTAGCACTCGGTGCTGGAGTGGAGAGGGGACTTTCAGTTACTCGAATGTTTCCTGATCTGTGGTCCAGACTGTCCTAACGACTCTCTTGTCCTCTTAAACGTGACCACAATCCCCCGGAGCGATGACCTTCCCCCGTTAACTCGGCCTTGAGCAGCTCTCGACTAGGAGCCTTTTGTTAAAATAGTGATGCCTTAGGAAAATGCAGAGGCACAGACGATCGATCGGGCATCCAGTAGGTTTCTAATCCCGTGGGTTTGGTGAGGCAGCCACGTTTCAGAGGCGACCCTAACTGCTGTTCCCCAAGCACGGCAGCCTACCGTTTGCTGATGCAGAGCTGACAGCGCGGCTCGGGACTGCCCCCAAGGCCAGAGGAGTCCTGGGTTTAGCTCCGCCCCGCTCGGCCTGGGTGGCAGCGATGGCCCAGGTCCCCCGGCTCTCGGCCCTGTGGGCAGCTGGCGCGCGCGTGTCTCCGCGTGTCTGCGCGTGTGTGTCCATGCGTGTGCGTGAAATGAGGTGGAGTCCTACGCCTGGGTGTTTCCTTCCAAGTGATTTTGATCAGCAATCATGGGGGAAAAAAAAAACAACTTTCTGGCTAAAAGGATGAAAACGGAGTAAGTACACAGAACTTTGAACTTGAAACAGAATGCGACCAAACGCAAGCAAAACCCTGACAGGAACCCCTCCACACTCAAACTGCTATTCCCTTCTTGTGTTAAAGGCCGCGGATGCTGACAGCGAAGTGGCAATTGAAAACTGAACGAAGGGAAGCAGTTCAGAAACCGCTGAGAGCAGGGCGGCTTTCAAACCGGAGGGAAAATGAGAAACAGCTAGGGCAACCTGGCCTGCGCCCAGCTGTGCAACAGGCACTTCGCGTTCCCTCTGCTGCGTCTTCGGGGCTCTTTTCAGACTCCGGTCCACTTTACTGTGCTTTCTCTTTGCCCCAAAGCTGAGGCAAGCTGAACTTAAGTTTATGTCTGTTGTGGAAATAAGATATTACCGGAAGAAACTCTTGCCAGCCCGGGATGCATTCAGATGATTTCTTACGACTCTCACTATTTTGACATCTTTAAAAAAAAGAATTAGCAAGTCAGTCACTTTTTACTGTCCTTCACGAAAGGGCTCTAAACACCTCGGACCGCTGGGACCTGTGTGAGTCTTTGGCATGAAACTTCGGAATGTTCTCAAGGGGAGTTGGGGCGAACTTGATTGGAGTTGTGCAAAAAGAAGACAGAAGTGTACTTTTTTCATGCTGACAGCCTGGCCAGGGGCCAAGTGAAGGTGGACTGGTCATGGTCTGTCGACCGGGGTTCCTTTGTCGCCGGCGATTTTGCCCCCGACCTTTCCTAGTGGGTTTGGTGGTGGCAATTTGTCTCTTTTACCAGAGCCTGACACTCCGAGGGGCTAAGAAGCTTGCAGCCGAGATTCCTGGGTCTGGTCCCCACATACCCTCACAAACCCAGGCTAGCAGATGTGAGCAAGGCTATCCACGGGACAAACGGTGCTTCCATCTCTCGACGAATGCCCAGGAAATCAGGAAGGTAAGTCTGAGTTTAGCCTGAGCAGTCGGCCTCTCTGTCCTTTCTGCAAAACTAAAATTAACTTTCATGAGGTCCGAAAGGGAGCCAGAGTATAAACAGCCCAGAGTGACCTACTGACTGTTACATAAAACTGAGACGCTTCCGAAACCTACTTAAAGAGTTCTGCCCTTTATCTTTTAGACATGATCTTCATTTCAGTGAAATGAAATGCTTTCTAAGAGAGATCTAAGAAATCTGAGGATTTGTACATAAGAAACAAAAGTCACCCTCGGGTGTGTTCCCTTAGAACAGAGAGCAAGAGGACTAAGACACTCTCAGAATTCCATCTGATGATCTGCCAAGTTAGTTCTGAATTTGGTGAATATGTTTCTAAACGAATGTACTCATTTCTAAAGAATAGTACTATAGTTTTCATAAGAATAATTGTCATATAGTTTAATTGTTCATAGAATTAGGGAAACACCAGTTCAGTATAGTGTCCGTACCTAACATCTAAGCACTCAGGAGGTAGAGGCAGGAAGCAGGCACTAACCCAGGTTGCTCTACATAAAGAGTTCTGGGCAGTGTTTGATGGTGAGACTTCTCTTTTCCAAGTGTGAATTTATGCTTGGTGTGGTGGTTCATGCTTATAATTCCAGCATAAGTAAGACAGAGGCCAGGGACCAGGGGTTCAAGGCCAGCCTAGGCTAGATACATTGTTTACCTAAGCTATATAAGACACTGTCTAGAAAACAAAGTTGGAAAAAAAGAGATCATTCTGTATTCACGATGGGCAGGTTAGTCTCACCATTTTTATTTATAAAGTATAGGAAACAATACAAATCCAGAAAACGCATAGAACTTCTGTTTTAATATTGCACTCTGTTCATGCCCAGGTGCAAATACAGACTTTTCGCTGTCAAGTATAATAAGAAAAAGAAAAAGGGTGAAAAACTGGTTATTTAAAAAGTTGTGACGGAAAAACCATTCAATTCAGTGACACTTGAAATAGTATACAGCAAGATATCTTTGGGATCCGTAAGAGGTACCCTTTCTCTAAGTAGACTTAGCCAGAGTTTCTGAGCCTGGTTGCAGCAGAATTTCATCTTGGGTGGCAACATAGTTATTGTCCGTACTGCCACCTCCAGGACCACAACAATGTTGTTTTATAATCTCTTTTCTTTGTTTCATTTCAGACTCATAACCCAGGGTAGATAGCTAGGTAGATAGATAGTAGGTAAGGTTACTCAACTTGAAAAGGAGTCAATTCTCATTGAAGGATGCCCAAGTGAGCCACATGGCTAACAGAATGCCCTGCCGCCCTCCCACAGAAATCCATCTGCTTGGTTCCTACCACAGTGTAAGTCATAAGTAAAAGCAAATTCAACATTGGCATAACCATTCCTGAAGCCATCACTTGAGGAATGCACGCCAAATCACAGTAGATTAAGATGCTGAGCCCTTGAAGACTGTCACATGGGTGTATTCATTTGTTAGCAAAAACGTGAATATTGCGTTCACTTCTAACATAGCAGGGTCATCTTTAAAGGAAGACTCAAGTCAAGATGTGACTCAACCTTCGGGTGTTCTGAAGTAACTGGAGAATGTATCTTTGCTTAGTTTATGTAACTTTTCCCATGCTTTTTTTTTATTATTTTCTTGAATACTTGAGATTTATGACAAATGTACCTGAATTTTAAAAGCAACTTTTTGGTAGTTTGTAATTGTGATGTTCTTTAAAAATAGGCGAGGGGAACATTTAAACACTTAAATATTTTCTAGGAAATTTAGGTGGAAATGATTCATTAATTAGCTTGTAGCCTCCTTTACTTCCCTGCTGGTTATTTCCCAATTCTGGCTTTGTTTGTATCTTAAGCATATGTTCACTGTTATTTGTAGACGGTCACAGAAAATTCCGTTTCAGCTTTAGAACTCCTGCTCCTTGGAAAACATCTGAAACTTATTGGCTGCTGGTGTAAAAAAAACATACACTCTAGAATTTTCTTCAACCAGAAGAATGCCAAGCACATGATGGTTTTGGCTCCCAAGTGATTCACAGCCTTAAATATTTAAAACATAAGCAAGATTCTAAACTGAGAATCATAGTTCAGTGAATGTGAAAATGTGTGGCCAAACATTTGCTCTGTACCTCTGACTTTAACGAGTGCAACCCTCTGATAGCAAAGAAGGTAGAAAGAAGGTGGCCTGGAAGCCTTAGTCAGAACCAGAGATGAACAAATCTTGTTTGTAGTGTATCTTCCAGAAGAAGTCAAGTAATAACCAGATGCAGTGGCTAAATATCCATTCAAAGATCTTACGTGGAGAGAAAAATCCATTAAGAATCCTACAGAGATCCTGTCAAAAATAATGATTCATTAAAATCACTAATGAAATGAACAACACGGCACTATAGAGGTACCTATAAGTACCTAGAAGTAGTTCTTAGAAATGATATTTTACAGAAATAGATTTTTCTTTTCTGACATTTGTCATTACTTTTACTGATAGGTTAAAATATTCAACGTAGCTGAATCTCTCATTTTTACTATGGTTGAATCCACCCATCTTTAAATGCTTAAAACCACTGAATTTAACTATAAAAATGTGTTTGGATATATAAAAGATCTCTAAACACCAGAAATTTAGTGCAGACTCTTGCATGTGTATATCTATACAGATCTCTATGAGCAAATAATTTGTTTTGATCAAATATTCAGAACTAAAAACACACCAAGACCCCTGAAAGTGATTAACAATCTCTACGCTTCAATGTTTAACTGCTCATTCTGTGTATATCAATTGAGTCTGAATAAATAAACCTAAAATGGAAAAAAAAACTATAATTAAGTCTTCAAAGGAGGATGTTAAAACAAACAAATAAATAGCAACTTTGTGGGAAAACATAGAAAAGCAGACTATTTTTAAACACAGTTGTTCATTGATGAATAAGCAGCAAGTATTTCCTGGTCTTTTGGCTGCAGTCCCTTCTTAGAAGAGCTCTCTGTACTTTGTCTACCTGGTAAACGGGATTCTGCAGCTGGAGATATTTGAAGACCATGCCATTGCCTTCCACACCTTCCCCATTGGGAACCAATTCAACATGAAAGCTGTTCCCAGTGCCAGTGAGATCACAGTATTCCATCTGCCAGTTTTCCATAAGGAAGCACTTGCCCCTCTTTTGGGCCAAATTTTAATTCCTTTTTCCACTTGTACATTCCAATGTGCCTTGTTAAGCAGATGCAATATTGTCATTTCTTCCAGATTTTTTCTCTCAACATTGGTTGTTTAAATCTTATTTAATAATCTGCCATGTCTTAAAAGCATTCCAACTTAATATATAAACCTAGTTATATTGTCTTCACTGAGATAGGTTGCTCTGTAGATTTACCCATTTTCATGGAAGCTGAAGTCTTAACATTGCATAACACAGAAAACATATTAAATTATCAACAGACACAATGGGTGAGATCTCCTCCGTCCATGCTCCTCTATTGGAAACATGGCTATTTGAGGACTGTGTTTAGACTCGGGAGAGCCATGTGTTTCTGATTATCTCCCGTTGAGGCTACACAATGAGAACTACTATTCCTTGGACTGTGACTGGGCT